CTATGCTTTCTCTAACTCCGACTGGGTTGGTTGTCCTTTCAATGAGAAATCTACTAGTGGCTTTGTTGTGTTTATGAGCAGTAATCTGGTGTCGTGGGTGTGACACAAACATCGCACTGTGGTTCGACCATCTACTGAGGCTGAGTATAAGTATATGGCCAATGTCTCTAATGAGGTTACTTGAATTGCTTCTTTGCTTCAAGAGCTTGGTTTTCCTACCGTGGATCCACCTCGGTTGTGGTGTGATTACTTAGGGGCGACGTACCTCTTTGCCAATCCGGTGTTTCAGGCAAGGACCAAGCATGTGGAGGTTGACTATCACTTTGTACGTGACAAGGTGGCTCCAGGTGAACTTCAAGTCAATTTAATTTATTTCGTCCAAGGATCAACTTGCGGACATATTCACAAAACCGTTGCTGGCTATGTGTTTTGAATTTCTTCGAGACAAGTTCAATGTTGTATCCTACCAACCTTGTGCTTGAGGGGGTATATTAGAACTCTATATATAGTTATAGTTCCTGTATACTTCTACTTCCGTGAATATCTCTTTTTGTATATATATATCCTACTGTTGTATACATACATTATTATTGTGAATATGCACACAACTTCTGGGTTCCCAGTACTCATCAGCCATACCATGTAACTTACCTCTTTCATCAAGTCTCTAGGACATGAGCGGTGATGGGCTCTTAAATTTAGAATTCAAATTTAAATTAAAGATTTTAAAGTTGTGTAATACACTACTGGAAATTATGGAATTTCCGACCACCTGAAAGTGATCTTAAATCAAGTCAAAAATCTTGTTCCGACCACTTTTGGTATCCGGAAAAACCTTTGTTGCTATTTCCGACCACTTTTTGGACTTTTTGGTATCAACTTAATTTAAGATTATTTTCAGGTGGTCGAAAATTTCATAATTTCCAGTAGTAATAGAACTACAATCGTTATATTGTGGGCCCTAATTCAATACACATAATTTGACTTCATAATGTATAGAATTCATGGTCATAATATACAGAATTTATGTTCATAAAATAAAATTAGGGGAAGAATATGATGTTGTATATATGAAATCTTTTTTATGCAGCGACCTGTATGGGACTGATATATCGAGGGGTCCAGGGTGTGACTTTTCTAGAAGCGTGACATGAAGAATTATACAAAATATACAAAATAATGGTCAACAGAGTCCTATATATAGGCTATAGGTGACGATATATTCTTATTAAAAAAATAGGAGATGAATTATCAATTTATTAATTTCATGTTGTTTTTTAAAAGAGATATTAAAGCAACATTATAAGTAGTCATGATAGTAGTGAAAGCAATGAGAAAAAAAAAATGCATATTTGCAAAAAAAAAAAAAAAAGTTGGGACAAAATAATAATAATAATAATAATAATAATAATAATAATAATAATAATAATAATAATAATAATAATAATAAATGATGACAAAGAACATCTTTATCTAATAAATTAAATTTTGTATTAACACCGAAAGTAATGATCGAGTAAATAAAGTATAATTCTTGTTGTTAAATGGTAATGGATATGATTTGCATTACATTTCCAATTCACCCTTGTAACTACTTTTTCAAATGTACCATAAGTTGTGCATAGCAAATGTAGCAGATATCATGTCTTGGACATTAAAAAAAAATAACGTATAAAAGTGTGATCATTTATGGACATTAGGACTATCTCAAACGGTTTTGTCATTCATCAAAGTCTTCATCATCAATTGTTAGTTTTTGGCCTATTGCAATAGTTTTGCATTTGGGAAAGTTCGAGGAAAAGGCACCAGAATTAAAAATCGGATATTCTTTTATTAGTTCTTTACTAAATAAATACATAAATAAAAAGGAAAATAACAAAATTGGGCCATCTTAATTTTATTGTTATTCTGTTATACAATTATGTACATTCTATTATACAATTATGTATATTTGAAACATGGAATTTTTTTAAGAGTTAAGAGTTTATGTATATTATGTATTATGTTAGATTATGTGTGTCATCATTTCAAAAAAGATTATGTGTATTCTGTTATATAATTATGTATATTCGAAACATGAAATTTTTTTAAAGAAGTTAACAGCAACACGGGAAACGAAATTTTCAAAAACAAAAAGTACAAAACAACGTCGTTTTTTACCAGGGCACACAATGCATTATGTGTCCTGGTGCACGATATAATTTGCAACAAAATGGGGTAGGAAAATAATAATATTATTACCTAGGGCACTAGACCCAAAAGAATACGTACAATGCCTGAGACACCAGCCCAAATAATAAATAAATAATACAAAATAATAAATAAATAATACAAGCTATAACCAAAATAATTAAAATAGAAATAACAATGTTACCGCTAAGAATTGAACCCTGGTATGTCAGTAGAAGGGAGAAGACTCAGACCAATGAACCAGAAGGGGTTTGGTGAGCCAATGGATGCTTTTTAAGGGGAGGGAACGATGCCTATTTATATTGTTGAAGGACTCACGGATGTTGACAAATGGACAGCAATGGGCAACCATCATTCCTAGCACACACGTGTCCCCCACTACTTTGCTTCTAACGCACTCCCATGCATAAGTAGAACTTCTTGCTCTTTAATATACAAGATATTTAGTAGCTTGGTGGTTTAGAAGTTGTGTTGTTATGCTTAAGGTTGTGCGTTCAATACCCCTTGGTAACATTGCTTCCTTCTTTGTCCTTAGCAATAAAATGGACACCCTCCGCACTATAGGTTGAATCTCTAACTCTAAGGATCCAACAAGAAATCTGTCCACTTTGAACATAATTCAAATGTACCATAAGTTGTGCACTTGTGCATAGAAAATGGCGCAGATATGATGTATTGGACATTTTTTAATAAAAGTGCGACCATTTATGGACATTAGGACTATCTCAAACGGTTTTGTCATCATATCATTCATCAAAGTCTTCATCCTCAATTGTTAGTTTTAGGCGTATTGAAATAGTTTTACATTTGGGAAAGTTCGAGGAAAAAGAACATAATTAAAAATCGGATGTTCTTTTATTAGTTCTTTACTAAATAAATAATTTTTTTTTTGTTTTCAAAAAAAATAAATAAATAATATTTTTTTAAAAAAAAGGAAAATAACAAAATTGGACCATCTTAATTTTGTTTTGAAATGCAAAATTACATATTTACAACGTAAATGGGGTGTCATCAAAACGTAGACATTTTTGATAGAAATTGGAAGGTATGTCCAAAATAGAAGTTGGATTTGTTTATTCCAGCCTTTCCAGGTCCAAAAATGAAGTGAAATAATTTGCTGAAAAATGTTCCTTGTATTATACTGATCTTTGATAAATATATTTTATTTTAATTATATCGAAGTTTAAATTTAATGAAATTACACATTTATTATTTTATATATTTTATCCTCAACTCACCAAATTTAAGTAATTCTTGCTCTCACTTGGAAGTTAAGTGGGTAATATCAACAATGACGAAACAACGGATATTACAGAAAATACTCATAAATTTTTTAGTTAAAATAGAAATTGTAGCTATACTTCTTTTTTGATAATAAATAAATAAATAAATATATATATATATATATATATATATATATATATATATATATATATATATATATGGTCGCGTTCAAGTGTCCACCGGCATTAACATGCATATCTTTAAACTACTAAAGGATTGTATTGCACCGGACACGAATGCACCACAAGTTCATCCAGACATGTCCCGGAACTGTTGCAGTACATCCATGATCCATATAGTAGTTGCGGTGCATTCATGTAGTAGTTGCAGTGCAATACTTTAGCAGTTCATTTGTAAGTTCGAATGTTAAGACTAGTTTGCATTTGATCCTAATTATATATATATATATATATATATATATATATATATATATATATATATATATAAAGTCATGTTCAAGTTTTACTGACACTCTTAGTTAAACTCGTCTCACAAAATCTTTTTATTCTAATTTATTTTTTATCTATAATTTATGAATTATTACATCAGATATTTCTCACCGATCCAAAGTTGAAAATTATAGTTTGTAACATGCATCTTCAAGAATGAAAACATTACAAAAAGCAAATTGGTAAGTGTACACGAGAAATGCATTACGCTTTACCAAACCATGAATACAAAATATAACAAAATTCAGTTTTAAAAACCCCCAAAAATGAGGTTAAAAAAAAAAAAAAAAAAAGCTTAATAATTGGACTTTATGATATCATTGAACAGAAATCTCTTACTCGGCCGCCAGAACAGATTTGACCCACGTGTTGGATTACTTCGTTAGTCAAGTTGTCAATATTTTATTCACAAATAAATCTCAAAAACATCCTCCTTAGACACCTTTCGTCACTTTCTCCTTCGTCTGTCTTAACTTTTTTAAAAAAAATATATATATATATATATAATTACCAAAATTTCAGAAAATATTACTACTTTCCAAAATTTGGAAAAAGCACTGGTTTTAAAACGATTATTATAGTGAAATTTACAGATTATTTATAACAAATTACTAATAATAAAATCTAATTTTCATCAAAATGCAATATCCACATTTCTCCACTACTCTACATTATTATAATTATTAATATTAAATTTATCTATATTTGAGATGATTCATCAAATGATTACCTTCCCTCCTTGCAATCTTTTGTTGACTAAAATCAGAAAACGAGATTTACCTAATGCATACTATCCGATAGTGACTACTGATTTCTCTCATTATTTAAAAAATTTATAAATAAATAAATAAAATTATCTTTTGTTAAAAACGTTGTGATAAAGCAACATAAATGTGATCCTCCCAAATAGAAGGTCACAGCTTCAAACTTTTTTACTGTTGAATAACATTATAGCAACTGCAGACTTTCCCGTAAATGAATAGATTATCCATAAATAATACTCGTACTATGTAAGTGTTAGATTTAGTTTACGTAGGTCCCACTCTTGAGTATAAATAGAAGCAGAATTCCATGCTTATTCTCATAATCATAATAACAGAGTGAAACAGAGTATAGTCTAAAACAGAGCAAACGCTAAAGAAATAAAAATGGATTCTTCTTCTTCCTCATCCTTCTATGTTCAAAATTCAGACTTCTCTTTCGAACCGCCGGAATGTTTCCAGTGGGATTACCGGAGTTTCGACGCCTCCCTGCCGTTCAACGTGAACGACTCCGAGGAAATGCTCCTCTTCGGAGTTCTAGCGGAGGCGGCGCAAGAAAACTCGGAGACAAATTCCTCGGAGACAATAGTCAAGGAAGAAGAAGTGAGCTCGGAGGAAACGAAGAAGGAGAAGCCGTACCGAGGGGTGAGGCGGCGGCCGTGGGGGAAGTTCGCGGCGGAGATACGGGATTCGACTAGGAACGGGATTAGAGTGTGGCTGGGGACGTTTGATAGCGCGGAGGCGGCCGCCCTGGCTTATGACCAAGCGGCGTTCTCGATGCGGGGGTCGGCGGCGATCTTGAATTTTCCGGTGGATACAGTCCGGGAGTCGCTCCGGGAGTTGAGGTGCACGGTGGAGGAGGGGTGTTCTCCGGTGATGGCGCTCAAGAAGAAACACTCGATCAGGAAGAAAAGCTGCAAAAAGAGTTGCAATAATAGGGAAATAAAGGTGGAAAATTTATTGGTTTTTGAAGACTTAGGCGCAGAGTATTTGGAACAACTTTTGAGTTCAAGTACTTCTTCTATTTCTTCTTCTACTAATCCTTGGTAAATCCAACCTAAAACTTAGCCATTTTCATTATATATATAAAATATGTTTATGATCTTTGTTTATTTTATTTTTTATTTGTAATTTTCTTTTGTATCTTTAAGTCCTCAATATTTGGTTAAAAAATATTAGCTACTACCAAAAGAGACTTAGGTGGGAGGGATTCATAATTTATAGATTCATAATTTCTGTACTGTAGATTCATAATTTTTATACTGTAGATGCATAATATTTGTACTGCGAAGACGAAATAATGTGATTGCGAAGAGAGAAACGTCATTAACAACAAATGAAAAACAAAATTATGAATGTACAATATAGAAATTATGGATCTACTCTTGTTTTCACCATGCGCATAGTGAACATGTTTCTACAGCATAATTTGCGCAGACTAATCCCCAATCGCATCGGACCCGCCCAATTAAGGGGCAGACTATATTGTATTTCTCTTTATTTCGATGGGATATAACCTTTGTATTTTTATTTCTTATATTTGTTAACAAGAAAGACAAGATGTTGATAATGGAGTAATGTGAATCTTAATTGTGATTAATGATAGTTTGGGTCTCCATTATTTTTTGTACAGGACAAAGTGTCAATCATCAACTACAAAAACAAAAGACAAATCTCATATACAATAGCAAAAACTCACATTATAGTTCCCATGCATAACCAGATAGTGAACAGTTATCTGTCCATCCAAATCTTGAGATCAAGATTAAAGAAACAAGATAATATATACAAAAGTTTTTTGATAGTATACTTAGGTTTATCTAAATTGTTGGATACAGGGTGTTGGATCCGTTGGTGGAAAAAACAAAAATAAATAATAATCAAATAAAATATGATTATTATTTTCTGGAAAACAAAGGAAGGAAAGATGGAGAATTTGGCTAGTGTTTGGTGTTGGGTTTTTGCAAGAGTCAAGTGATCACTCTTTCCTTAAAACCTTATTTGTCACCTCCCAAAGATGCTAGGAGCGTTGTGGTCTAGGCTTCCCATGATAAAACTTGCTATGATTCAGTGTTTGAGCATTCAAACAAAGAATCCGGCGAGCAAGACAAGGTTATGAACACAGTATGGCTAAGAGAAGGAGTAGAAGCAGAATTTTGAAGCTGGGAAAAACAAAGTTTCGTGTAGTGTGCTTGTTGTTCTCTCTGTGTGTAAAATCTGCTTCTCACTACCCTCGCTTATATAGGGATCAAGGAGTTAGATAGCTTTTAATTTGGCATTTAAAAGCACCCCCACAACTCCTGTAACAGCAACCACTAACAGCTGAATTAAAACCCCAACGGTCACAAAAGGAAGGAGCTTCAGTTTAGCCACGAAAAAGGCCGAACTCACAAGGCCAGCCAATTTTCGAGGCTTGAATCAAGCCTTTTTCAATCTCATCTAGTTGGAATTTGATTTGCACCCCCGCGCGAGAGAGCCTCTATACTATACAATTCTACAAGTTTCAAAAGAGCTCTTGTATATAGGGGGGGAAAAATCCTCATTCCAAACCAATGTGGGACAAAGCTCACTTTTCCCTTCATTTTTCCAACTCAATGGGTCTACTTTAAGAATCAATATCTTATTCACCCATTATCCGTTTTGAGCGTACAATATATCAATCTCTTCGTCTCAATACGAAGAACCCGAATACACTTTGATCCGATCCAAATCGAAAGTGGACCCCACTGATAATTGTACCATAAAATAGCCACTTAATATGTCATTTTAAGCTATTTTTCCAACACAGGGAAGCAATATAATATCTCAAAGATATGGTCTAAAAATAATAATTTATGTACTAGTAAAAACGTCACGATTGGATAAGTTACGTTACTCATTTTGTCACCTTATTTGTACATCTTGTATTCATAGTATTATTATGAAAATATAATTAATAATGAATAGTTTATTTATGAATAAACATGTATGGTAGGTATTTTATCACATTGTTTGAATACATTTTATTCAAAGTATTTTTCATGTGTTCCACAGCCGCTAGTTTAGCATGATTTTTGACTGATCAACGTGAGCTTTAAGGAAACTTCTATTATTTTTATTTTGGAAAAATGGCACTTTTTCCCCCTATGTTATATGCTTATAGTACTTTTTTCCCCTGAGTTATTCATGCATCCATATTTGCCCCCTCAATTATTATAAAAGTGGCAGTTTTTCCCCCTGATAATATTAAATAGACATTTTTACCCTTAAAATACATATTTTATTTATTTCTCTTGTTCAACAAATTATTGTTTATACGTAGGGATGGCCACGGTTCGGTTCGAACTGAACCGAACACTATAGCAATCAAATAAAAAAAAAACGGTTATGATTCATAACATAACCCAATATTTTGGTTTCCGTTTATTAAAATTGTGAAGTGAAAAAAATAGATTCTGAACCGTGAACCAGAGGTTCAAATCGGAACAACTACTAGCAATAGCTTAAAATTAGAATTATAATATTTGCAAATAGTGTATGTTTTTTTTCGCATTTATATTGACTCTCACATATAAGTATATATAATCGCGATTTGGTTTTTATTTTGAATCGTTGTTTCACAATTTCGGATCCAATTTGAACTATTGGTTCAAACATTATTTTAATATTTTATTTTTTTATTTTTAAAGTATTCTAAATTCAACAATTAATGTATTTTATTTTTTCAAATTGTGGTTATAATTTGTTGAGAAGTAAAATAAAGGAAATATTTATTTTAAGGGTAAATATGTCCATTTAATATATCAGGGGGGAAAATTACCACTTAAATAATATAGGGGGAAAAAGTGCTATAAATATATAACACAGGGGGAAAAAGTGCCATTTTCCCTTTTATTTTTATTATATTATTAGAATTTTCATTTATGGTGTCGATTGACATGGGTGCTAAAACTGCTAATAATATAATGTTTGGTATAAACCGTATAATACATAAATATATAAGGTATAATAATACCTGCTATAATATATAACTAGTATAACACCCGTGCGATGTAGGGATAGTAAAATATATTCAATAATTATATTATTTATCAAATTTAAATAATGTAAATAAATAAATAAATACTGAAAATATTTTATAATATTCTAACAATATTTTATTATAATAAAGTATGTATAGTACCTAATATCAAATTTTGCTTTCTAATGACTTAGTGTTGGGATTAAATAAATAAATAAATAAATAAAAGACCATATACCCATCACTTGTCAAACTACAAAAGTACCATAGGCATACAATGAGAACTATACCAAAAAAATCACAAAGGCTGAACCTAATTTGTGAGTATTTATAAGTAAGCTAAGGGACATATAAAAGTTAGAGTGCAAAGTGATTTGCTAGACACAAATTTTGAATTTGAAAATTTTAATTAAATGTGGTCATCACAACAAATAATGTATTTGACTGTCTAAAAGTATTAAAATTTGCATATACTAAACTATTACACTAAATATAATGTAAGATTAGTAAGTGTAGGTTATATGTATTGTTTAAGGTTTCCAAGATAATATATTTTTTTAGTAAATGTAGGTCATGCGTGTTGCTTCCATGGTGGACCAGGATCATTCACCTTCCATGGTGGATCCTGGTCCAAAACGATGTATGTCAATTAGTACATCATAATTAATAACATTATATAGACTATGTTCATAATATTTGTTCTATATGTCCATAAATCAAACCTTAGTGTCCATAAACACAAAACTAAATATACATTATATACATTTTCATTCATCTATAATTGGTTCATAATATTATATTCATTCTATATGTTCATAAAAATAAAGCTTAATGTTCATATACAATATACTTTGAACACATCATGTTTAGTAATATTCATTGTGTGCTATACTCATAATATTTGTTCTATATGTCTATAAACATAAACATTAATGTTCATAAACACTAAACTAAATATACATAATATGTATTTACATTCTCTCTATAGTAGGTTCATTATGTTCATAAAAACAAAGTTTAATGTATATAAATATTACTATACACGCATCATGTTTAATAACATTCATCTCGTACTATGTTCATAATATTTAGGACCAAATGTGATACAAATTACATACTCATGCACCTAATTAGAAAATTTTAATAGTCAATGATCAAATGTGATTCATGTATAATAGTCAGTGAACTAAAAGTGAAATTTATTATAATATTTATTCTATATGTCTATAAACATAAGTTGTAATGTCCAAAAATCCTAAACTAAATGCACATAATCACATGTATTCCCATTCATTTTATAGTATGTTCATAATGTTATTTCTATATGTTAATAAAAACAAAGCTTAATGTATATAAATAGTACACTAAAGTAATGACTTTATGTACCTATAGATTTATTTAAAAATAAAAATAAAATAAAATATATCAATATGGATGTTATTCAAATTAAAATATCTTAATTAGAGCTTTTTAATGATAAATTTTCTATACATTAATTTTTTTTTTTGAAAATAATTTTATTTTATTTTTTTAAAAAAAGAAAAAATAAATTCAAGTTGAAATTAACATAAAATTACCATATGAAAGGAAAGTTTAATTAATTTTACTTTTAAATGACATTTTTGTCCAAATGATTGATATTACATAAATGCCTTGAGTTTGGGCGGGAAAACTTAGCTAGGCACTTCTATTCTATTATCTATCTATATCTATAGATAGATATAGATTGTATCGAGTACTATTGATACTGACAGTAATTAGATGTTAAAATTGTATCAAGTAGTATTGATACTGTAGTTGAGTGACATGATTGTGACTCTCCCAAATGGGAGTTTATAGATTTGAATCCCCGTGGAGGTATTTATTCTTTGTGTTTCACCTTGCATTATATGGATAGATCTTGTTCTATGAATTGAACACCATTTGAGGCTTCTTTTTTTTTTTTTTTGGTGCGCTAGAGGGATCCAAAGGTCTGATGAGCCCCTCTCTCAAGCCCTATAGCTTAGCAATGAAATTGCTAGTGATACCAATTTTAATAGAAAACCCCACAACTCAGGAACCATTATGGTCGCGAATAAGACCTCTCGCACTAGCCAAGCCGATCATTTGAGGTTCCTCCCGCACTAGCCAGGCCGACCATTTGAGGTTCCTCCCGCACTGGCCAGGCCGACCATGTGAGGTTTCTGACCATAGTTATAGAGAGCAAAATTCAAAAAGCATTATATTAAAGGAAACAAAATGTTATACTTGTCATCAAATTGATACTATATAGAAGTAAAATTCATAAAGCAGAACTAAAAAAATCAGTCAAGAAGTGCAAACTAGCTTCTTATATTCTTCACCAGATCAGAAATGGCATGCTCCGATATGATCCATAACCTTAATTCTCTGGGTTCACAAATAACTTCATTGCAACAGAGGCCACTCTCTTGTAAGGCAGCACGTTCCATTGTTTCGCATTCATATACACCTCTGCCAACTCCAATATAGTGCCTTAGCTTGGGGTGGATGATGCGCACTACTGGAAATTATGAAATTTCCGACTATCTGAAAGTGATTTTAAATCAACTCCAATATGAACTTTTCTCGCTTGTGCACTATTAAACAAACCAGGAAAGAGAGTATAATGGATTTCGTGGCTATATGGAAGAAAGAACTAAATAATATGTGAGATTGACCAATCTAAATACAATCAGTTCCAATGATAGGTCGGTGACAAATGCACATTTTGAAGAGATAGATAGAAGATCTAATCTCGAGGGAATACTTTAGCCATTTTGTGAAATAGTCCGGGCAACAACAACCGAATCGACCCAAGAATGTGTGGTGGAAGGGCGATGGCTCCAAGCCATCCCACTTCTTACACAAAAAAAGAAGAAGTACAACTAGAATGTATATAGAGGGGATGGGATGGGTTGGAAAAAAGATGGATTCAAGATCAAAACAAAGAAAGGTTGAGTGCGCGCCTTTGCTCGACGACAAGTGGCTACCATGTGTATATTTTTGTGTAATAATAATAATAATAATAATAATAATAATAATAATAATAATAATAATAATAATAATAATAATAATAATAATAATAATAATAATAATAATAATAATAATAATAATAATAATAATAATAATAATAATAATAATAATAATAATAATAATAATAATAATAATAATAATTTAAAGCATTTTCATAAATATGATAGTTATTTATAAAAAATAATATGTTTTACTAAAATGATTTACATATTTATTATGTGATATACAGTTTTAATTTGTGTATTTTATTTTATCAATTTTAAATTTGTGTGTCAAGCACCTTGGGCTTAATTGATTGTGATTATAGTGTAATAATGTGGATAATACTCAAAAAAATTGTGTATTTTGGTCCTATTTGGTAAATAGTTATTAGCTGTTAACTGTTAGCTGATTGTGTTAATTAGATGGTATAACCAGGGACGGAGCCAGGATTATATGAAGAGGGGGGGCGAAACACGATTTAAGAGTGAACAATTAAATACATTAATATTTATTTAATATAACCAAAATACATCACTACATTACAAATTTACTAAAATTTAGAACGTATCTCTTGCATACCACGTACAATCATTTATAATTGAATATATACTAAATTGTTTTGCAATTTGCTTTTCAATTTTTCCATCTATATCGGGGTGGGGCTACTGGTCTTCGGGTTCGCACTTTATGGCATTTCCACTATAAAAAAATCAAATCCCTCACTAACAAACAAGTACAAATAGTACGAGAATACCTAGATGACAGAAATAAATACTAATTGACTTTCAAAATATTTGATTAAGATATAGCAAAAGGCAAACCCATGGAAGGAGCTAAGGCAAACCCAGTAACCCTTGGAAGGAGCAAAGCAAAAATGAGTTCTGACTAAAAGTGGAGAATAAAGTAAAAAGAAGATGGTTTTCTTTGCTCCTCAGCAAAGCAAAATAAAGTAGAAGAAAAAAATGGATTTTCTCCTCTTTTTCTGCTTGTTGCGTACTGTCTGAATAGAATCAATAAAATTGAGATGAGTTGAAATGGAGTAATAAAATAGAGAGTTGAAGTGGAGTAGTCTTTAAAAAAAAAAAGTGAATTTGTGGTCTTGACTCTTGAGAAAACAGAATGAAGAGTGGAAAGTTACCAAAAAAAAAAAAAAAAAAAGTAGCAGTCCACATGCATTGCTGCATGACTACCTTTCAAACTTTTTTTTGGTGTCAACTGTCCAGGTCCTTCTCTGTCCGTTTAACGGTCCAGTCCATCCGGTTCGCTCCGAGAGGCACAAAAACTAGCCCAAAAAATATCGTCACTTATGAGAATTGAACTCGAGTTATCCCGAAACTACCTCTCAAACTTTTAGTTTCTCCCCATGTATTTAATATACTCCGTAATACATGCCACATAGGAGTGACCCAACACCACAAAATATATAATGATGTAAATTTGTAAAGGAGAATTTGTTGAATCGTTGAGAAGCTAGGAAGGGGCAAATATTTTGAGAAGGGGGCGGGGGGGGGGGGGGGGGGGGGTGGAATTACTGAGTGGGGGGGCTGGGGGCCAATGTATTCCTTAAAAAAATTTGGTTGGGGGAGCCATGCCCCTTGCAGATTAAATGTACTTCCGTCCCTGGGTATAACTAGTTGATAACATTAGCTAATTGTAGAAATGTGTTTGATAAATTAGCTATTAGCTATAGTTATTTGAGTATAATTTCTTTTCTCAAAATGTTAATTGAAAAATTTACTTTGAGTAACTTTTTAAATTTTAACATTTTAGAGTACAAAAAATTAATTAACCAAATATTTATATTAATTTTTAAATCAAATCAAAAAATTAATAATAATTAAATAAGTCAAAATTAACCTATAGATTAACTATTTTACAAAACAAGGCCTTTACGTAATTGGCATAAAAGTAGTTGCATAAAATTAGGGTCTCTAGTCTCTACTCTCTAAACTGTCGTTGTCACTTACATCTATATTACGGAATATATACGTACGACGTTATCTTTTTTCTTGGAGCCTACGCAATTCCGTACTATAAATTCGCCACCCACAATTCTACTTTTCACACTCTCATCGTAAATTCGTAATCACACCCCTAATCGACGTTATATAAGTTTTCAAAAATATTCATTGTTGTAGAATTAATACTATATATTAAGTATTATTAACAGTATAGGCAAGAATTTTAAAGATGGTAAAAGATTAAATATATTTATTCTTCCAAAATGTTGAACCCTAATTCTAGGGGCTCCCACACTCTAGCCCGGCAGAGTATTTGGAAGGATGTAAATTATGGTGACTCAATTGAACATGAATCAGAGAGGCCAGACATTTGCTCACTGAACACAAGGAGCCTCCTTCACTTTGAGAGGTTGCTCCCATACTGCCGCTGGTGAGACTCGATCCAGTTTCAGATTAAATATATTTATAGTTTTAGATATGGTAAATTATTAAATATAATTATGGTAACATTTAATATATACCAATAGAAGTTTAATAATGTAAGATAGTTAGTTTGACAAAAGTTATAATAAAATATGAGAAAATATTTGATGCACCGTCGTTGTATAGGTACTATACAACGGCAGTGAACCAAAATACGCCACTTCATTAAATTGTAAAATCAACTTCAACTGAACCCTTTTATACAAATTATAATAATTTTAATATAGTATGATTATTTTATTTTATTAAAGATAATTATTATAATCAATTGCGCCATTGCCGGCAAGAATCGGCACATCACCGGAGATGAAATGGGAATGAACATGGTCTCCAAGGGGGCGTCGAGAGAACAAGAAGGGATTAGAACCCGATGGAGAAAGCACAGAGAACAAACAAGAGCTATTAAATTAAAACGAAGTATAGCATGTTCTTACAGGAAGGGATTAGAACTCCATGGAGGAAACACAGAGAACAAACAAGGCTTTATTCTCCTCTGGCACAAGGCACTCCGAACAGATCAGATCCTTTTGAAGAATCATTTCCAGTTCATGAGGGAAAAACGCAGCAGAGAAACCACACCAGTAAACGAGAAGCCACAATTAGCAAGTCAATCCGCAACAAAATTTTGTTCTCGGTGCACATGGCAACAATCCACCACATCAATTAAAACTAAATAATAGTATTAGATTTATTTTTCTCGACCTTCGATCCAGTTTATGACGGCGAGTTTTTTGTCAGAGTAGTAGTCCATACATTCTAGACGTCCTTGGAGACCATGTTCATCCCCATTGCATCTCCGGTGGTGCGCGAGAATCTCATGTGCCAATTCTTGCCGGCAATGGTGCCATTGATTATAATAATTATCTTTAATAAAATAAAATAATCATACTATATTAAGATTATTATAATTTGCATAAAAAGGTTCAATCAAAGTTCACTTTACAATTTAATGACAACGACGGTGCATCAAATATTTTCTCATAAAATATTTGTAGTGTAATGTACAATTCAATAAACATAAAAATAAATGACATAAATCATGGGTAATAACATTGATTCAATCTTATAATTTTTTTTTTTTTTGAAAATAATTGTAATTTATGTCCTTACTTATATGCTAATTATAAATGTCACATTTCAATTCTATGTGTATAAATATTGTTATTGAATTGTTTGAACGTGTGTATATATTGTCCATCCTCATTATAAATGTTGCCCGAATTCTTAATTTTTTTATGAGGGTGAGGCAATATATACACATGTTCAAACACTTTATGGACACAATTTATACCACTTGTGTGACATTTATAATTGGTCTATAAGTGGCGGTAAGAAATTACATTTTTTCCTTTCTTATTTAGATTTTAGATATTTATATTATTGTGTAATAATAATAATAATAATAATAATAATAATAATAATAATAATAATAATAATAATAATAATAATAATAATAATAATAATAATAATAAATTTGATAGGTATATTTTAAAAAATAATTAATTAATCTTTACTAATTTAAATCTAAATGAAATCAATTTTATTTAGAGTTAATACCCAAAATCGTCCTCGACTATAGTGGTTTTTCTCAATTTCGTCCTAAACGACTTTGGTGACCTAATATCGTCCCAAACTTTTGTGTTTTGCTCAATTTAGTCCTCCATTTGTTATTCCGTCAAATTGGTGTTAAATAAAGGGACAATTCAATAATGTCAATATTGATCTCTTTTTACTTTCAACTTGTGAAGTGCGAAATTCCTCTTTCTTGTACGAATTACACCCAGAATTACTCCCGGACCTGCAAATAAAATTTTATATTCTCAGTTTTAGGAGTAATTCGTAAAAAAAAAAAAGGGATTTCGCAGTTCACATGTCTATGAGTAAAGAGATGCCAATATTAAAATTACTGAATTGTCTATTTATTTAACACCAAATGGATATAATAACAAATGAGGGACTAAATTGAGCAAAAACACAAAAGTCTGGGACTAAATTGAGCGAAACACAAAAGTCTGGGACGATATTAGGTCACCAAAGTCGTTTAGGACGAAATTGAGAAAACCCACTATAGTAGAGGACGATTTTGGATATTAACTCATTTTATTTATTATATCATTCCTCCAACCCTAAGGGCCCCCCACACCCCGACCCGACAGATAGAGCATTTTGAGAACCCCATAGGCTAGACCTTTGCTCAGGTGAGACTCAATCCCTGTTCATTCTTCCAAACTTTCCCCTCTATGACCAGTTGAGCTGCCCATGCGAATTTATTTATTATATCATGACTCTAATATATACTGTCTACATATATTATTACCATTGAAAAATATTAAGAAAATATATTGTGGATACATGGGCATTGTAATAATGAAGTTATATATAGATAGATTAGATTTAGATATTAAAAAAAAAAGAAGATCTAGATAATATTGATTAGTAAAAATATAATATTTGTTATCCAATAAAAATATCATAATTTTTACTAAAATGATGTACATATTTATTATGTGGTAAAGTTTTAAATTTGTGTATTATATATTTTTTTTATCAGTTTTAAATGTGTGCCAAGCGTGCTCAATAAAAAAAAATTCATTTTTAGTCCCTTGACTATTATACATGCATCAAATTTGGTCATTCACTATTAATAATTTCAAATTAGGTGCATGACTATATAATTTGTATCATATTTGATCCTTAACTATAAATATTTTCAAATTAGGTGCATGACTATACAAATGTATCACATTTGGTCATCCCGTCTAATTTTATGGCCAAGTTTCCTGTCAACTATTGTTGGAATTTTAACAAAAAAATAATATATTCTAATTAAAAGAGTATTTTTGGCTAACTTTTGTCAAAAAAAAAATAATTTTCTCGTTGAAATTATGAAAACAATTAGGCGAAAATTGGACGATAGAATCAAATGCGATACAAATTACAAAAGTCATGCACCTAATTTGTAAATATTAATAGTTAAAAACCAAATTTGATATATATAAATAGCTGAAGGACCAAAAATAAAATTACTTGGTGCTCAATTGATATTTCTGTGGCAATATTGTAATAAAGTTAATAATATTTTTAAAAATTTGTGTATTTTGTGTAATTGGCATAAAAATAGTTGCATAAAATTAGGGTTTCTACTCTTTCTAGACTCTAGAGTCGTTATCACTTTCAACATCTAAATTACGGAATATATGCGTACGCCGTTATCTTTTTTTTTTTTTCTTGGAGGCTACGCAACTTCGTACTTTATATTCGCCACCCACAATTCTTGTTTTCTCACTCTCATCCTAATCGCACAATTCCGCACTATAATGGCTCCAATTCAACTCCTCGGTCCACCTGAGATCGACCGTGCCCAGCTTCCCTCCGTCGCCGATCACGGCGGCGAAACCAACACTCCACCCATCGATACCCATGTCGCCGATTTGGCAACCAAAACCCAGGGGATTAAGCTCGACCCTAGCCGCCCTTTGATGGGTTTCACCGAGAATTGCTCTGCCACATTCCTCTCCTCCGGCAACCCCTGCTTGGACTTCTTCTTCCACGTGGTTCCGGACACGCCGCCGCAGGATTTGATCGGGCGGCTGGATGTGGCGTGGGCCCACAATCCCTTGACCACTCTGAAGCTGATCTGTAACCTGAGGGGAGTGAGGGGGACCGGCAAGTCCGACAAGGAAGGGTTCTATTTGGCGGCGCTTTGGCTCCACTACAACCACCCCAAAACCCTCTCTGGTAATCTCAAGGCCCTTGCTGAGTTTGGGTATTTTAAAGATTTTCTTGAAATTCTGTATAGGATTTTAGAAGGACCCTATGTGAGGAAATTTGAGAAGGAGCAGAGAATGGAGAAGTCCCGCCAGAAGATGCTTCGTCGATTCAATTACCCGGAATACGATGAAGATGATGAGAATGATGATGAGGAAAATGAGGAGGAGGAGAAAATAAAGGAGAATTCGGCTGAATTGATGTCTGAGAAGGATGAAATCATGAAGGATTCGGAGGAATTGATGTCTGAGAAGGATGAAATCAAGAAGAATTCGGAGGAAACGATGGCTAAGAAGGAGAAAATCAAGAAAACTCCAGAGGAATTGATGGCTGAGAAGGAGAAAGCAAAGGCTGAGAAGGAGAAGGCAAGGGCTCTAAGAAAGCAGAGAGAGCTAAACAAGGCAGTAAAGGCTTTAGAAACATACAATACTGATGAAAAATATAGGTTACTACATGACAAAACTTCCGATCTTTTTGCAGAAATGTTAGAAGCTGATATTGAGAAATTGAATTCAGGGAAGCTCGGGGACATCAGCTTGGCTGCAAAATGGTGCCCCACTATTGATTCATCATATGATAAGTCCACCTTAATTTGTGAGAGCATTGCAAGAAAATTATTCCCTAGGGATAAGTACATGGAATATGAGGGCTTAAAGGAGGCCAATTATGTTTATAAGGTGAGGGACAGACTGAGAAAACAAGTTCTTGTGCCTTTGCACAAGGCATTGGAGTTGCCCGAGGTGTATATGAGTGCCAACCAATGGAACGTGCTGCCTTACAAGCGGGTAGCCTCGGTTGCAATGAAGAACTACACGAAGAAGTTTTCGAAGCATGATAAGGAGAGGTTTGGTGAGTATCTTAAGAAGGTGAAGACCGGGGAGGCAAAGATTGCAGCCGGGGCATTGCTTCCTCATGAGATCATAAAATCATTGGAACGTGCAGCCCCGGAGGAGGCAGAAGTTGCAGAGGTTGCCGAGCTACAGTGGAAAAGAATGGTGGAAGATCTTGGCAAGAAGGGGAAGTTGAGTAATTGCATTGCTATATGTGATGTGTCTGGGAGTATGTCAGGAATACCTATGGAAGTCTGTGTGGCATTAGGAATCTTAGTTTCTGAATTAAGCGAAGAACCATGGAAGGGAAGGCTGATCACTTTCAGTGCAGATCCTCAGCTTCAAAAAGTCGAGGGTGAAACCCTGTTGGAAAAGACTGAATTTGTCAAAGAAATGGACTGGGGTGGGAACACAAATTTCCAGAAATCGTTTGATAGGATCTTGGAGATGGCAGTGGAGGGGAATCTGAGCAAGGAACAAATGATTAAGAGGGTGTTTGTTTTTAGTGACATGGAGTTTGACCAGGCATCAGAAGATCCTTGGGAGACTGATTATGAAGTGATACAGAGGAAATTCAGGGAGAAGGGCTTCACAAATGTTCCAGAAATTGTGTTCTGGAACCTCAGATCTTCAAGGTCCACTCCTGTTGTGGCCAACCAGAATGGTGTGGCTTTGGTGAGTGGGTTCTCCAAGAATCTGCTGACCATCTTCTTGGAAAATGGTGGCATTGTGAACCCTGAGGAAGTCATGGAGATTGCCATTTCTGGGGAAGAGTATAAGAAGCTTGCTGTTCTTGATTGATTTTGTAGTGTTCTTGCTTTTAGAGTTAAGAGGAGTTTTTTACTTCTGGGCAGTATCAAGTCGATGGAAAACAATTCTGTTATCTCTAATGCTTTGAACTTTGCTGCTCTGTATAACTATAAAATAGAGTTATTGCCAAATAATTGTGGTGTAGTCGTGTAGATTGAAAAAGAATCCTGGATATTGAATGCAAGACAATCCCTGTATCAGATACAGTAAACATAAATAAACAAACAAAAGGAAATACAGTAAAAACCAACTATTGTTTATGCGTTCGTTGTAAAAATTCTTACGCAGGGGGGTCGGAGCAAAAATTTCTTTGCCGGGCAACTCATGATCAATTCACTAAATGATCAATAAAGATTACATGGGTGGTAATACTTCATAACCAAACACAATATATAACGAAGAGGACTATAGTAATAATCAGTGTTGCAAAAATCGCACCTAAATGCCTATTAATCGATGCAGTAATAATCAGTGTTGCAAAAATCGCACCTAAATGCCTATTAATCGATGCCTAGACGCTACGTGCCAATAAGGCCAGAATTAGTCTCCTCCGCAGCCGGCTAGGCAGCCGCCTAGCCGGCCAACACGTCGCAACATTTGTTTTGCAGTCTCCCCATGCCAATCTTCAGTCCGTTGAAGCACCTTCGCCACCCCACGCGATCGTCGGTTGCCCCCGCCTCCACCTCCGCCAGTCACCGGCTCAGGGTCGATGGGTTTTTTTTCGCACTGGCAAGTGGTAGTAGATCGGTTGCCTCCGCCAATTGCCGGCTTAGGATTGCAGGCTCAGGGGGTAGATGGGTCTCCCCCACTGTTGCCTCTATCAGTCACCGGCTCAGGGGGAAGACGGTAGTAGATCGGTTGCCTCCGCCAATTGCCGGCTTAGGATTGCAGGCTCAGGGGTAGATGGGTCTCCCCCACTGTTGCCTCTATCAGTCGCCGGCTCAGGGGGGAGACGGGTCTCCTCCATCGATTGCCGGCTCAAGGGCGTAGTGGTTGCTGTGCGTTCTCTAGAAATTAAAGTTTCTAGTAGATGAGAATTAGAGACTAGAGAGATGATGAGACTTCGTTTTCAAAGATTAAAAAAAAAAAAGATGATGAGACTTCATTACTTCAAAGATGGGGAAGAATTTTTAGAGCAACATTATCACTTGGGGAAGAATGTGGAGAGAATGTAAGAGTGATTGGGAAAGAGAATGTGGGAGGGGAGAGAAAAAAAAGAAAAAAAAAAAGAAGAGAAAACGCGTCAGGCGCGTTCAGTGCATGCGCCCGTGTGGCACTTGGTTGTGCGCAAACGCGCACAACTTTTGTTCTTGTTTTTTTTTTTCTTTTCTTTTTTCTGACATTATTTCAAACACTTGTAGGCTAATTATTTTTTCAATAATTCTTCTCCACATCAAATATTAACTTTGCTTGAGAGAATTCATAACTCCAAAATAACCACTATAGTGGATGCTCCTAGGGAAGTGGGAAAAGTAATGGGTTTTTGAGAAGTGGGAAAGCAGTGGCTTTTGGAGAAGTAGTGGTTTTTTGGTAAGTGGGGACTCATTAGTCACGCTAGGTGGCAGTCACACACGTCTAAAAAAGAGAAAATTTTAAAAAAAAAAAGAAAAAGAAAAAAATCAATCGAGCGTTTAGCATCTTTTGCAACATTGGCAATAATACTTCAATCACTTTGTGTGGATTATGTCCTAACCGAGGTACATATTGCTCTGGAGTAGATCTAGGCTCAATTCTAGAACCCCATAACCAAATACAGACTAATAAAAATAACTTAAGTTTTGACAAATAATTTAGCCGATATAAATGGAGTAAAATGTGTATCATTTGTACATTTACAATCTCCTCATTTGGTAATTATTTGACAAAATTGAAGACAAATATACTTTAGGGAAAAATAGATAATAAATTGACTTTAATTTGTGGTAACAATTCATCATTATATATTAGTTAATTTCCATATAAAATTTTGCCACTAATTAAGCTTTTATTTTAAGCTACTAGCTTATTTTAATAACAATACCAAACAGAACTTATATCTTATTAGTAGTTTAAAATAAACTATAAGCTCCTAAATAAGCTCCCTGTCAAGCAATAATAGTATAGTTGGTAGAATCTATATCTATATGCATATAATAATAGAAGTGCCTAGAAAGGTTCCCAAAAAAAAAAAAAAAAAAGGACTCAGGGTATTTCTGTAATATCAATCATTTGGACAAAAATGTCATTTAAAATTAAAATTAATTACATTTTTCTTTCATATGGTAATTTTATGTTAATTTCAACTTGAGTTTATTTTCCTCTTTTTATTTTTCTAAAAATAAAACTAATGTGTAAAAAATATATCATTAAAAAACTTTAATTAATATATTTTGAATGACATCCATATTGATATATTTTATTTTTTATTTTTAAATAAATCTATAGGTACATAGAGTCATTACATTAGTGTAATATTTATATACATTAAGCTTTGTTTAGTAACATATATAAATAACATTATGAACCTACTATAAAATGAATAGAAATACATATACTTTCAAAAAAAAAAAAAAGAATAGAAATACATATGAAGAATTTAGTTTAGGATTTTTGGACATTACAACTTATGTTTATAGACATATAGAATAAATTTCACTTTTAGTCCACTGACTATTATACATGAATCACATTTGGTCATTGACTATTAAAATTTTCTAATTAGGTGCATGACTAAATAATTTGTATCACATTTGGTCCTGCTATCCAATTTTTCAGCCAACTATTGTCGGAAGTGCTCTTTCTGGAATAAGTAAATGCATGCAATATTCTCATTCTAGAAGTGGTCATTCTGGAAGAAGCAAATGCAACACTTTTGGCAATAGTTAGCTTGGAAATTGGACGACAAGATCAAATGCGATACAAATTACATAGTCATGCACCAATAAAATTTTAATAGTCAAGGACCAAATGTGATTCATGTATAATAGTCAAGGGACAAAAAGTGAATTTTTTTCTAAATATTATAAACATAGTACGAGATGAATGTTATTAAACATGATGCGCCTATAGCAAGGTTGCAAAACACGTTAGGCGCCCCGTAGGCGCCGAGGGGGCGCCTAGCGCCTACGACGTCGATTATTTATTTATTATTTATTTATTTTTAATGTTTACACGAGATTGCATTTGAGTATAGTATTGCACGAGATTGCATAATGAGAATGTTTGTGTAAACAAAGAAAATTGAATAATATATATTAATATTCAAAGTTCTGATTTACATATCAAGTATCAATGCGGTGTGGGTATATGTCTCTGGATATCCTCTGATTCTTCAATTGGAGCCTTGAACACTCCACCATTGAAGGGCCTCCGGGTTTCAAGTGGCTTGATCTTCAAAGAAGGACTTGTATATATAGCTTGTTCTTCTTGAAGGGCCTCCGGGTTCAAATGGCTTGATCTTCAATGGAGGTTTGGATCAATAGGCATAGGCATGATCATTATGGAGGAGAGACTTCTACTTTCAGTATCACATTTTTATTGTGATCCTGAATAATA